AATAATACTTGTTTCTACACCAAGTCATTTGTTGGCTTTGAACTGGTATTGTTGAGGGATGTGCTATTCAGTTGTTGTTGTTGAGCGTTCCCTGTCACGATTTTTTCATTCTCAAAATTCATATTTGGACCTTTGATTATGGATAGAGGAATCTATTTATCCCACCACAAATTTTGGAGGTATTATTTTGTTTAGTAAATCCAACTTCAAACAATATAAAAAGAAAAAAAAATAATGGTACTTAAAAAGGGAAAAAAATAAGAAAAGAATTGTAACGGTCCATAACAAATTACAACTATCCAAGGAACACAAAGCACGGCCCGCGGCCTTTTCCGTTAGGAAAATTTGGCGCTAAATCTGACCTGGCACAGTAAACACATCAGCGTCCACCTCAGCTTTCCCGGGAATTGGCGCCAATTCTAACCTGGCATTGTAGCCACGTCAGCAATCCCGCCAAAAAAATCCTACTATATATATAGTTCCTCACGCCGTACATCGTCAATCTCTTCAACTTTCCCTTCTAAGGTCTAACAATTTCTCGTCAAATTTCTTCATTTGCTTCTACAAATTATTTTATTTTTAATTTTCTTCTATTTTTCATTAATGGAGTCTGATGATTCTTCATCACTCTTGGGTACATTCAAGTCAAAGAAGAAACTGCAAATGGGATCCGACCCGGTTGTTTCCGGGGCTCCGTCTCTTGATCCATGGAGCTCAAAAACCCCTGAGAAGCCCATCATTCCTCCTCGCCGGACTCGTAATCGTGGTGCCGCGCTTTCTTTAAAAGAAGTCCGACAGGCCACCCAGAGGCTCCGAAAACCCGACCCGAACCACCCAATTGCGCAGGCTGGTGCTTCATTGAGCTCTGTGAAGTCCCCGGCAGTTAAAGCAAAGAAGCCTATAGATCCAGTAAAGCTACCAGAAAAGTAAGGTTTTATTTTTTATTTTTTTATTTTTTGGGTGTTACATTATATACATTATATTATGTGTTATTGGACAGAGACTGATCTAGAAATTTATATTAGTGTACATTATATTATATGTTCTCACTTTTATTTTTGCAATTATGGGTTCAGAATGAGATATTTGTTGAATTATTGTAATTTTTACTAAAATATACGTGGTTCAGTTGAATCTGGTGAAGCTAAAATGCACCAGCCTCGGTATGTATATATACAAATATATTAAAAAAATTCAGAAATATATATTTGAGTGGACTCCAACTAGTTTAATAAATTGAGATGTAGTAGATCATATCTGTCGCTACTGTTGTTTTACCAGTAGCAATAAGCCTAGTTTGAAGAGGCTCATATACGGAACAGTAGGAAATAATACCCGGGGAGGAAGATTCGATTAATCGAAATTTAGAAGCTGAAATTTCTAGGTTGATATATAGTTCGAGTTGAAGGCCGTGGATAAATTTCCAGGATGTGTTTTATATTTTTATTTTTCCGGTATATATACAAAAACAACAAACACAGTGAATTCCCACAGGTTGGGTCTGGGGACGGTAGTGTGTAGGTAGACTATATAGAAAAGCACATTTACAGATATTGAAAATTCTAACTATATATAGCTCCAGTTGACCTCGACTAGTTTGAATTGAGGTGTAGTTGCAAGTTTAACGGTGCGCCTAGATTGCTGGCATAAAACTCCATCTGTCCTTGTCTTCAGATTTAAAAAGAGCTGGGATTTTCCAACGTTTTCTGTTTTTTGGTTTTAACATTGGTGTGTTTGTGTAGGTATGAATTGTTGGAAGAATTCTTCAGAAGCTTGAATAATTCAATTCGGTTGCTGCGATTGAAGGGTTCTTCGACGACATTTACAAATATTAGTACCAAAGTGGAGTGTCTAACAGATAGGTAAGCAATTGAATATTTTGAATACACTTTTGTTGATGATTTCCTCTATCAATTATTGCTAATTGCCTAATTCTTTGGCTCTGTGTTAATTGTGCAGGAGGTTTACTTACACTCACTTAGCACAGCTGAAGTTTCTATTACCCGAGGCTATTGAGATCAAGAAGATACTTGTGCATGACGAACACACATACTGTATGAAGCCTGATCTTCATATTACATTAAATGCTAATGCAGTTGAAGTTGATGAAAAGCTGAAATCCACTAGTGGCACTGTACAACTGGAGAAAGTCTTCCGTGCTCGGATTTTGGATTTCTTTAAATCCCACCCTGAGGTAAGAGAGATTTCAACTTGTGCAAGTTTTGACAATCGAGAAATTGCTTTGTGATGATATGTTGAGAGTAAATTCTTTATTATCCTATAGGTCCAAGTGACGTTTTTCGGTTATTTAGTATTTATAGATTTCAAAATCTATGTCGTCTTGAGACCATCAGCATAGTTTGAGATCTTAACCGTACCAATAATCCTCTGTGTTGTTAACGAAACAAGTGTTGAGATATCCCTTCTCTGCCTTATATCTTTTGCTTCCCGAATTCCTCCAAAAGAAGGTGAAAAGAATAAGTGATATTTAGATGTTTTGCTTTATCTACAAAACTAGTGTTCTTAACGAATGCTATTTCTGAATTCAGGGGGATGACATTCCTGAGGAAGCACTACCAGGAGCATTCGGTGGGTCAAAACAAGAGCTCTTAACAAACTCATCAACACCACCTGCAGTCGCACAGTTAATGGGAGAGACACCGATTGCTTCAATGCAGAAGCAGGCAACAGCTGCATCGCACCTGTCTCAATCTTTCAGGAAATCGTTTTCTCATCGAGCATCTATTGCTAAAGCAGAGGATACCGAGCAACTTCAAACAGTTCCTCGTTCTTCACTTCGTCCAGTCTCAGAACCCCAGATTTCCAAAACTTCCACTGAGAGCCACACCTCTACATCTGCCGATAAAACTGCTTCCAAATTGCTTTCGACACAAACTAGCAGAGCAAAATGCTCAGCACGAGGGGTTATTTCTGGTACTTCACCACCATCTCCTCTACCCGCAACTCCATTAAAAAACATGAAGGGTGGAGACGGTTCATCTTTATTAAGTGCTGAAGAAACTCCAGCAAAACATACATCTACACCTGCAAAATTGATGACTTCTACACCTGTGCTCCAACCTTCCAAGAGATGTTATATGAGTCCGGATGGAGAGTTAACTGAATCACCACAAAAGCTAGTTAGGCGCCCTCCTCGTATTAGGTCATTGACCTTTGATACTCCTGTGAAGAGTTCAAAAGTTACTGAAGTCATCGATAGTAGAGAATCGTCAATAGACGATGAATTCTTTGACATTCTTCCTCAGAATCTTCTGCAATCGGTAAGACAAGGAAGAACTTTTCTTCCAAGACACCATTTCCTTGTTGATAGTATATTATTTTGACTAATTTTGTATGACATTATTAAATCAAAAGAATTTCTCCATTGAACTGAGAAATTAGGAAATCTGTATTTCTTGGTCTACTTCTAAAGGTTAGCTGCTGAATGTTTCATGGATCTGCAGATAAGAAAAAAGGAGCAAAAGGCATTAGAGGATAAAGATCCAGCTATATCCCAAGCGAAATGGCACCAGAAAATGATTTCGAGCTTACCTAAGTTCTTCGACATGATTTACTTCCTATTTCAATCAATTAAACGTTCTGTGATTACTAAAGAGGAGCTTATGCACAAAGTACTTTCAAGCCATCTAGAGATTACTGATAGAAGTAAGTCTGGTGGTTGATAATCGTTTAAAAACTTGGAGTGCTTTGACATTTTGAAGTTGCTTCTGACTTGAAACCTGTCTTCTTTCTTTGCAGGAGAAGTTGAAGAGCAACTCCGGTTATTGCTAAAAATAGCTCCTGAATGGATCCATGAAAAGGTGGCATCTAGTGGGGATCGTCTCTTGTGGTAAGCTTTGGTTCTTCTTCCTCGGCTCCCCCCCCCCCCCACCCACCCACACACACATCATTCTTGGTTGAAAAGAGGCTTTGATAAGAGGTGGATGTGTTTGTGTGTGTGACAAAAAACTAAAATTTCAAGACATGTTTGGTATCTGTACCATAATTTCAGAAGTACAATATAATCAGTGTTATGAACCTTAAACATTGAAGCGATCAAGTTTAAATCTTGAATCCGCCCGACCCTTTTAAGTATTATATGCTGTCCTGTAATTTTTAGGAGCTTGATGTCATTATTTTTTGTTTTCGTTGCAGTGTTAGCGAGGTATCAAATGCTGAATCAATACGCACAAGAATAGCTGAAGCAAACTGAGAGAAGCAAGGTGCAAGGGACTTTGAATCCGGCCCGAGTTTTTCAACTTGAGCTTGTAAATGATAGTTTGTTTAACTAGATTATTGCAATACATTGACTGACTCTGCAGAATTTGGCTGCAAAGCTGCTATTTAGAACAGTTTTAATGTCATTATAACTGGTTTAGCCAGCAATATAGAGCTAAAGTGACCTTTTTTTTTATCCTGTATATAGCCATAATTCTACTTTGGAATGAGAAATGTTTTTTCACCATTCTTCTTTATCTCTTCATTAGATTTTTGTGACTTCTTCTATAGTCATTGTCGAGTTTTTTTTCTTTCTTTTGCGAATAAATTGTTTTATCAGAGTATTTTAATTCTTTAATTTTCTTATTTTTTCTTTGGAGTTATAACAACTTTAATCTGCCTTAGCTAAATGGTTTATTAAAATAATTTGAAATAATCATATTAATAAGGAATTTGCGACAACACCATGAATTAGTAGTAAAATTCAAAAGGATTTTCAAAGTTATTTCTTTTAAACTTAAGCCAAATGATTTTAAAATAACATCATTAGGCAGTTTAATACACTTAAATCATAGTCAAATGTTAAGGGGTAAATTTCATTTTTTTTTTCTTGAATTTGAACACGTCAAGTTGCAAGATTATGCAAAAGCTAAATACGGATGAAAAAATTGAGCACTTTTAAATAATATTGTATTTTTTTTTTTTTGGAGAATTTCTCGTAAAAAAAATATTGTTTGAACTAATTTATCAACAAAAAGATTTAAAAAAAGAAAAAGGAAAGAACGTCAGTTATTTTTTTCCGTTTGAGTCATTCACTGCCCTTGAGTAGTTAATACTCCGGCCATTTCCCCACCTGCTTCTTCTCCACTCCGCCACCTCCTCCGCTGCCAACGCTGACGGCGTTTATCGTTCAGCTCCAGGTAAATATTCCGGCGCATCTACATATCACTGTCGGTTTGTCATTTTCATGATTAGAAATTTTAATTGATCTGTAACATCCATAACCTAGAATTCAAAATTCAAATTGTCACGAATTTTCAATTGATCATTCGTTTTTCATTGAATTTTAATTGCAAAATTAGTGATCAATTATTGTGATAAACTTACAGATTCGCAGCTTCTGATTCACCGCAAAAAAATTCACATCACCCGGAGTTTCAACTTGAATAGATTGATATGAATTCGCGGAGGTCTGTGAACCGTCTAGTTTTAACCCTATTTATGTGCTTTTTTTATTGATTGTTTCGTGCATTAGAGATCATAATAGTTCAGATTTGCTAGTTTCTCGAGGTGGAAAAGAGCCTTAGATTTTAGAATGTGTCATAATATAAGATCAGGTTGGTTTAGCTTTTTCTACTCCTATTGGTGCTAGCTATCACTCATTCAACCTCGAATTTCTGAAAGACTATGTTCTAGAGCCCTTAAATGGATGCGAATTTTCAGTATTATGAGCGAGTTCCTGTTTGTGTGTGTGGGCTTGTTATCACCCTGCCTTTTCCTCTTTTTAAATGGTACAAGTACAACAATAACAACAGATACGCGGACCTTACCCCTACCTTCTGAAGATAGATAGGCTGTTTTCGAAGACCCTCGACTCGATTTTACTACATAGTTACATCTCTTTTTAAACGGTATGAGCTGTAAATGTGCGGTTCAGGCTTGATCCAATTTTAGTATCGTACCTTGACATTTGTCCACAACATAAACTAGCCCCTCTCCTATGTCATATTGGCCTTGTCGGTCGTGCCAGTTTTTTACCTTTACCTTTAACTTGCTCCTGTCCTCTGTGCCTGTTCCTTATATGGATGTGAGGGTGGGAAACCTTCTTACTATCGAAACCGCTTTTTGTGATGTGTTGTTTAATCTACTTTGCATCCAGCTTTCTCGGAATTCATTGATAATCCTTGAATTCAGGGAACGTAGCAGTAGAGCTGCTCTATTTGATGGAATTGAGGAAGGTGGTATAAGGGCTTCGTCATCATATGCTTCTGGCGAAATTGATGAACAAGAGAATGAGAGGGCAATAGATGGGTTGCAAGATAGAGTTAATATGCTCAAAAGAGTAAGTTTTGCATACCTGAAAGCTCTTAGTTTTTTCAGCCAGCATTAGAGTCTTCATATGGTCAATGTTTATGGGTTAAGTTGCAATACAGAATTTCCTTGGTTGTCCTCACTGAAGTATACACCCTTGGTCATGGGTGTCAAGGGTTGATTGAGGCTTCAACGGTGCAAAATTTAGGCAGCCAACTATTTGAGATGAGATAAACTTATAAATACTCTTTCATTACTGGAGGCTGTTGCTTTACTTAATTGACGACTATATTTGTAACTGCATATACACACACTTTCCTCTTTGTATTTTTGTTCATCATAATGACTGATTCTTTTCGAGGATCTTGCTCTCTCAAGATCACCGTTGGGAAAATTTGATTATACCATGTGTAGAACTTTTTCTATAAGATCCTAGAATTTGTCACCTCGAGCACATTCTCTTAGAAGTCGTTCTTTTTTGTGTAATTACTCAGAAAGAAAAGAAAGATAACCACACGAATCTTTAAAGGCTGGCACTAAGAGGTTCCTGATTTCTCCATCGAGTTATCTTGAGAATGTGTAATTTTTGGTGATTGTTCAATAGGTTAGAGAAAACCTGTTCTTCTCTTCTGGTGCAACTTAAGTATTGGAGTCCTTTAATTTTCGTTTCCCTGCTGCTATTGTCATTCTAAATGAGTTGTTGTGTACATCAAGTGAAACAACTCGCTATTGAAGTTGATAATGAGATATTGAACTTAGTGAAATTTACTCTTTTAGTCCTGATAATGCTTTATACCAACAGTTGACAGGTGATATACATGAGGAGGTGGAGACTCATAATCGGATGCTTGATAGAATGGTCAGCTTAGCTTAATAAAGTAACTTATCTTATTCTTTTATCCTTTTGTAGTATGATTAATTAGACAAGTTTTTCTGGTTTGCCTATTCAGGGAAATGATATGGATTCTTCAAGAGGTGTTTTAGCTGGAACAATGGATAAATTTAAGATGGTATCGTTTTACTGTAGATGCCATTTGTTCCATTTTGGCTTGATGAAATGTGTTGCTGGTTTGAGCCGTTTCCATGATTTTCAGGTATTCGAGACAAAATCAAGCCGAAGGATGTTCACACTAGTGGCCTCATTTGTGGTTCTGTTTTTGGTGGTATACTATCTCACTAGGTAATTAGTAATGTGAGCAGAGATATGTACTGGATTTATGTGCAGAGAAAGATGCTTGGCTCAGTTTCTGATGTCAACATTACTGTCTCACTGTAAGAAAGTCGAGACTTTGTCTAGCTGTGTAAAAGTGTTTTTAATACAACAGATAGTTTTGGAGTATACAACGTGTATCTTTGAATATACAAGGGGAAAATACGGCCGACAAGGGTTGACTGAGTTGGTTGGGTGAGAGGTTTCTCACATGGGAGACCTATAATCAATTCCCCTCACCGGCCGCTTCCTCAGTCAGAGTCGCATCGGGCTTGCCTAGTGTGGTCCGCACTATCTCATGTGTGGTTTGCGAACTATTGCACAGTGAGCAGGTTACCCAGTGCGCACCCGAAAGATAGTGGCTGCGGGTGAAAGTACAAGAGGGGAGGGGGGGGGGTGAATTGTAAATACTTCAAATTAATTGCTTATAAGTTGACTTATAACTTGAGTAGTCTGCTGAATATGATAATTTAGCAGATATGGTAACGGAAAGTAAAATGCAGAAAATAATTGCAGGAATTAAAACCATCGGGATTTTTATACTGGTTCGGATTCAATGTGAATCCTAATCCAGTCCCCTTGGGTTGCAAGGGAGTTCTCTTCAGTAAATGAGTTTCTTCCGAGTACAGATGTGGTGTATATCGCTCAGTTTCTCTAGCACTCGTTTTTGATACAATGCCTCACCAGTGTGTGCTCTGTTTCTATCTCTGACTTGTTACACAACAGATCTTAGTGAACTACAATGCTTGTTTGCAGTAGAATAAAGAGAGTAATTTGGTTTGATCAAAGTATGTCTAAGCTAGGGTTTACAAGGGTGTATAAATACTTTGATGGATGGTAGAGGCTTGACAACCCAAGAGATTTGATCCTTGGAAAGAATTGATTCTTTCCAAGAATAAGGAATGAGCCGTTGCTTCTCTTGATTGCTTTCCTTTAGCAGAGGATTGCTTCACTTGATTTCTCCTTGATTATTGGATCTTCCAAATGTGGTCGCTTCCCAGATCTCCTCGTATCCTTTAGTTTTCCGTGATTCTGCCCATGATTCGTGCCTTTGTCCAAGGCTTATTTGATTTTTTCCAGCTCAGCTAATCATTGTTATTGCTGATTGATTCGTTGATTAGATTGCGCCCAGATTTACGAGACCAATCCAGATTTGCTGATCACATGCTGATTGATTTCTTTCCTTGTACATCATGAACCATTCTAGCAGTCTTCTTTACTTCTTGAACTTGATTTCTTGCACATGTATATTATTTGCATCATTAAAACATGATCTAACAATCTCCCCCTTTTTGATGATGGCAAAATAATATAATAAGGTAAAGAAGTAAACACCAGTCGACTTCCCTGTGTTTTACTAGTCGACTTGACTCCCCCTCAATGTATGTACGCTTGACTCCCCCTCAATGTATGCAGTCGACTTGACCTGTCCATGACTCTCTCCCTCAATGTGTGCAGTCGACTTGTACCGACTTGTACCTGTACAGTATACAATATATGCTACCTATGCACATATAAAATGTGCGCAGTCGACCTGTACACATACACATATAGACAGATGGTCGACTTGTACCTGTACATATACACATAACATAGGCAAAATAACATAGGCTTTTTCTCCCCCTTTTTTCCATCAGCAAAGAGTGATTATAAACATAGATAACAGTAAAGCAGAAAAGGTAAAGAGATTATCCAGCGGCTGGTGAAACAGCCCATAGTAGCAAAAAAAAAAACAGAATTATCCAAGGGCTTAAACCACAGCCCACAATACCACCAAAACAAGTTGTCAAAAAAAACATAGTTTTGAAAAACATCCACACTAGCGGCGCAGGAAATAGGTAAGGGTGTTGCAGATGGCCTCCTTTAACTGTTCGAAGCTAGTATTTGCAGCGACGCTCATACCATCCAGCCCGTCGTGAACCTCCTTGAAGGCTTTGACAACATTCTCCCTTACTCTGAAAATAACAACTCTGATTTTTGACACGTCAGACCTTGTTTCCTTTGAAATAGCATGAATGTCACCCACAGTGGACTGAGTGGCGAAAAGAAGATTCTTGATGTCAGAGAGTTTGGAGTCAATAGTGCTAAGCTTCTCACTAAGCTCAGAACTGACAAGAGTAGGAGGAGGAACAGCTGATGAAGGTTTAGTTTCCATAGGGGCCTGCTTTGCTTCACTCTCACTTTTCTTAACCCAGGAGACCTTGATACTTACATAGCCCATACTAGCAAAAGCTCTAGAATTATAGGACTTGGAGACAGTAATGAAGGGATAGTTGGATAGAGAAATTTGATGGGCTTCCAGAATATGAGTGATTGCCATGCCATAGGGTAAACTAGTGGGATCTTCAGCACTTTCTATCATGAAATTGATGACCCAAGAGGAAAGCTTGAGTTTGAGTTTCGTGATGAGGCAGTAGACAAAGAATGTATCCCTTTGAGAGAAGGTTGAAAAGGAACCAGTACGGGGAAGCAGAGTGGTTGCCACAATATGGGCTAGAACCCGAGTTTCAAAACTTACATCACTAGGGCCCAATTGGTTTGGAAGAATTTTAGAGGGACACTCAACAATGCATTGTTTGGCTTGGTCAAAAGAAATTTCAAAATTCTCAGGCCACACATTTTTAAAAAGAGTAGGGAAACCAGAGCAATGACATTGGAAAAGAGAGTCAAACAAGGCACAATAAAAAACAATGCAATTACCTAGCACTAGAGATTCTAGCCTATCTGGTTTACTGGAGCGAAGATTTGCATAAAACATTTTGACCAGGGGTTCATATACCTTAGGCGAAGGAATAGAGAGGAATTTTTCCCACCCTTGATAAACAAAGAGCTCTTTAACCTTACAGTTGAGGGCTTCCATATCATCAAGATCCACGATCTTCCATGGGCGATGGGCTTGTCCTTAAGAGTAATGAAAAGATCCCTATTTGGGGTATCCCAAAAATTTAGGTCAGACTCGAGTGAGGCAGAGAAATCAACTTTTGATTTCTTTTGGGGGTGGAGAAATGGGAGGATCTTCCATGGGTCGTTTGCCTAAGGCTTTTTCTCCTAGAAGTTGGGAGTGTTCAGAGAAATCACCCTGAGATGAGGCGAAGCCTTCAGAGTGATCAGACCCTAGGTCTACTTGCTCAGGAGGCACAGAAGGGGATTTTGCCTTAGAGCGGGTACTTTTTCTGGTGGAGGCAGGGGGATTCTTGGAGTGTTTCTCCATTGTAGAAGAGGGGATTTGCTCGAGTTTTTGGAGACAAGATGGAGATGAGAGTGACTAAAAGGGTTTTCTAACTTAAGAAGAGGGTTTTGACGGTTGAGTACAGAAAAGGAAAAGTTGTCAGTTGAGAAGACGTGATGATTGACTTTCCATCTTCGAACTGCGAACTGATGTGAACAAAGTGAAAAGAGAGGGAAAAAATCGGAGGCGTAATTAGTGCGTTGGAAAAGGACAATTATAGCACTTAAAAGTAATTGAGCACATAGGTCCTAAGAGTTATTAGAAAAGCAAATAATACCAAGTAATTTTTCAAAGTACAAAATCTTTCTTCTAACAAAGGCTTAGTAAAAATATCGGCTAATTGAGCAGAGGTGCCAACAAAGTCTATTTCTATATCTCCCTTAAGAACACGATCTCTAATAAAATGATGCTTAATATCTATATGCTTTGCTCTAGAATAATGCACAAGATTTTTTGAAAGACAAATAGCACTAGAATTATCACAAAAAATTTGTATAGGTTTAAACGAAAGCTCATAGTCACCCAATTGATGAGACATCCACAGTAGTTGTGCACAACACTGTCCAATAGCAATGTATTCAGCTTCAGTAGTGGACAAAGCGACTGATGCTTGCTTTTTACTATTCCAGGATATTAATGCCTTTCCTAGTAATTGACAAGTGCCGCTTGTGCTCTTTCTATCTTCTTTATCACCTGCAAGATCAGCATCTGAAAAAACTTCTAATTTAAAAGAGTTAGAGTAAGGATACCACAATCCATGAGATACAGTTCCAAATGAGATATCGAATGATTCTCTTTACAGCAGTCAAATGTGACTCCTTGGGAGCTGACTGAAACCTGGCATATTTACATACGCTGAACATAATATCTGGTCGACTTGCTGTCAGATATAGCAGTGATCCAATCATTCCCCTGTATTTGGTTTCATCAACTGGGGTGCCCTGTTCATCTTTGTCTAGATTTGTAGCGGGGCTCATAGGAGTGCCAATTGATTTTGCATTGTTCATACCAAATTTTTGAATCAGCTCTTTTGTATATTTGGTTTGACAAATAAAAGTTCCTTCTTCGGTTTGTTGGATTTGTAGCCCAAGGAAGAACGTGAGTTCACCCATCATGCTCATTTCAAACTCGCTTTGCATAAGATTTGAAAATTCCTTGCACATAAGAGGGTTAACACTACCAAATATAATATCATCAACATAAATTTGAATAATGAGATTACCTTCTGATGATCGTTTAATAAACAGAGTAGTGTCTATTTTACCTCTGGTAAAGCCATGATCAATAAGAAAAGTACTCAGCCTATCATACCAGGCACGTGGAGCTTGTTTCAACCCATACAGTGCTTTGGTAAGCTTGTATACATGGTATGGAAATTTTGAATCCTCAAAGCCTGGAGGCTGTTTTACAAAAACTTCTTCCTCGATAAATCCATTCAAAAAGGCGCTTTTAACATCCATTTGAAACAGCCTGAATCCTTTAAAGGATGCGTATGCCAGAAGAATTCGTATAGACTCCAAACGAGCTACTGTGGCGAAAGTCTCATCATAGTCGACTCCTTCCTGCTGTGAATAGCCCTGTGCAACTAGTCTCGCTTTATTTCTTATGACCTTTCCATCCTCGTTCAATTTGTTTCTAAATACCCATTTTGTTCCGATCACAGACACATTTTCAGGTTTAGGTATTAGTTTCCACACTTGATTCTTGCTGAACTGATCTAATTCCTCCTGCATAGCTTGCACCCAGCTTGAATCCTTCAGTGCTTCCTCTACCTTTTTTGGCTCAATTTGAGAAATCAATGCAATATTTGCTTTCTTCTTGAGGGCAGCCCTGGTTTTCATTCCTTCGTTTGGATCCCCTATAATAAATTTCTGAGGATATTCGGGTTCGCTTCTCCATT